CCCAGGACAGAAAGCCTGGGAGCTTTGGCTTTTGGGTGCAGTTGGTGACGCAGCCTGGGCACTTGTGGGGCATGCAGAGCTTTCTGTGCTGGCCCCTTTTCCCTGGGAGGAATCTTCATTTGGATGGGTTTTGGGGCAGGGGGGGCCGTCACCGGCGGCTCGGGGCTGACCAAAGGGATCGACAGCCCTTTGCACAGGACAGAAATCCTGGAAGCTTTGCTTTTGGGTGCAGTTGGTGGCGCAGCCTGGGCACTCCGTAGGCAGCCCGAGCTTTCTGTGCTGGCCCCTTTTCCCTGGGAGGAATCATCATTTCTATGGGTTTTTCGGCGGGGGGGGGCCGGCACCGGCTGCCCGGGTCTGACCAAAATGATCGGCAGTCCTTTGCCCAGGACAGAAAGCCTGGGAGCTATGGCTTTTGGGTGCAGTTGGTAGCGCAGCCTGGGCACTCCGTCGGCAGCCAGAGGATTCTGTGCTGACCCGTTTTCCCTGGGAGGAATCTTCATTTGTATGGGTTTTTGGGCAGGGGGGGCCGGCACCGTCGGCCCGGGGCTGACCAAGGGGATCAGCAACCCTTTGCCCAGGACAGACTTTGGCTTTTGGGTGCAGTTAGTGGCGCAGCCTGGGCACTCCGTGGGCAACCGGGGCTTTCTGTGCTGGAAAATTTTCCCTGGGAGGAATCTTCATTTGGATGGGTTTTGGGGCGGGGGGCCATCACTGTCGGCCCGGGGCTGACCAAAGGGATCAGCAACCCTTTGGCCAGGACAGAAAGCCTGGGAGCTTTGACTTTGCGGTGCAGTTTGTGGCGCAGCCTGGGCACTCCTTGGGCAGCCAGAGCTTTCTGTGCTGGAAAATTTTCCCTGGGAGGAACCTTCATTTGCATGGGTTTTGGGGCGGGGGGGGCCGTCACCGGCGGCCTGGGGCTGACCAAGGTGATCAGCAGCCCTTTGCCCAAGACAGAGTTTGGCTTTTGGGTGCAGTTGGTGACGCAGCCTGGGCATTCGGGGGGCAGGCAAAGCTTTCTGTGCTGGCCCCTTTTCCCTGGGAGGAATCTTCATTTGGATGGGTTTTAGGGCAGGGGGGGGCCGGCACTGGCAACCCGGGGCTCACCAAAGGGATCAGCAGCCCTTTGCCCAGGACAGTAAGCCTGGGAGCTTTGGCTTTTGGGTGCAGCTGGTGACACAGCCTGGGCACTCCGTGGGCAGCCAGAACTTTCTGTGCTGACCCCTTTTCCCTGGGAGGAATCTTCATTTGGATGGGTTTTGGGGCAGCGTGGCTTGGCACCTGAGGCC